TAATGCTGTAAAAAATCATTGGCTGTTTTTTTTTTTTTTTTCAGTGCAGTCAAAGTCCAAGTATTCCAGATAGATGTGTAACAATCCAAAATAATCATTCATAATCTTTCCTAAAAATGTAGTGATATGTAATAAACATTTTAGATCGTTTTTACTTTTCAACCCCTCCCCACCAACCACCTGTCAGCGAGAACACTTTTCATGATCCAATCAATTCCAGATGGATAAAATCATGTCTTGGCCTACATTTTTTTTCTTTCTTACTTTCCTCATTGATTTTTCACTCTGAGATGTGTCAGATTATGAAAGCAAAATGGGTTGATTTACCTCAGCAGGGTTAAGACAGCTTAAAGGAATAGGTCTCCTTAAAAAATCATTTTTTAACCTTATTATTATCATTCTTTATATAAGAAAACATGTTAGGCAGAAATCTGCTCTTTTGGAGTATGCAGTAGCATGTAAGTCTCTTTTTTGGGATTGAGAGCTGCATTCATATGAACTGTTATTTTTTGGAAGAGTCTCTTTAAAAAAAACTCCTTTTATTTTTAAAGAAAAAATCCATTCAGGTTTGAAACCATGTGAGGACGAGTAAATGAAGACAATTTTGTCATAATTTTTGGGTGAACTATTCCATTGAGTGATATTTCATATCCAGTGCCATTTGGCCCACCTGTACTTAAGTCCAACAACCTATTCTCACAAGGCCTGTTAATGCTAGCTCTTGGAAAAGTCATTTTGTGATGTTAAAATCAGGTAGCAGTGGTGGATGAGAGCCTTGATTACCTCTCGTCTCTACTGTCAGAAAGAGCTGATGAGAAAGTAAGTGGAATTTAGAGCATGGGAAAACCCTAAGAGATTGTTATTTGTTGCTAATTACATGAGACCGAGGTAAAGGATTGCTCTGTCTAAACAGGAGAGATGCATTACCCCCTTGAGTGAGTATTTAATTGCCTCTAGCTATTTTACCGCACTAGGCAAAGATGACCATGGACATTTATTTCAGGAATATTCTGAGAAGCAGTTGATGAAGTTCATAGTGCTGGAGCTGGATTAAAATATGGATCTCTGATAGAGCAATATATGGGCCTATGCATAGATTTTCTGTTCGAATGTTTAATTAAATATAATCTCCAGGGGTCTGAATACTTTACCTGTTACTTCATCTAAAGTGATGGTATACACTACAGTACATAAGTAAGTTGTCATTTAGCAAATATTTGTATACAAAGTAATTTACAATATCTTCACGATAATTCCACAGTAACATTTTTTTTTCTTAAATGTATTTATTTGTTTGCTATTTTTGAAGGATTATAGTGTAAATGGTGTGCCTGACAAAAAAAATATATAAATAAAAAGATATTGCATTGCTTTTTGCATGTTTTGTGACACTTTCAAAATGAAATATCCAGTGAGTGGAGCTAAAAGTGTGTTCAGTTTTATCCGAAACAGATTAGTGTGAATATGGCAGTTTTATAATGTTGATTGTTGCATGTTTCGCACATGTTCGGAAATTAAATGCCTGGTGAGTGACGCTAAAAGTTTAATCGAGTTTAAAAATAACATACTGCTTACACTAAACCCCAAACCTAACCAATAGTATTAACAACAGCAAACGTGAAATAAAAAATAGATTTACTGAATGAACCATGCCATTGTAGCTGGCTTTGAGCTGAAAGTCTTTGAAATCTTTTATTGTAACTTGTTTTTCACAGGGCTTGAATCCAGGTGCTTCACATTGCAAGTTCAACTCTGTACCAGGTGAGCTACCGAGCAACTTTACAACGTCAGAAAAAAAAACATACATATTTACCTGTGACTTGACGAAAATGATGGCATACATAAGTAAGTTGTCATTTAGCAAATGCTTGTATTCAAAGTAAAACCATATATATCATTTTTGAGGATGTGTGTCAATAAATATATGAGAACCTCTCTTAGGGTGTTTTCACATTTAGTTCCTTTTTAAAACCTGGAAGGGAACTAATGAAAGTGACCTCAGTCATTTGGTGTTCATACAGCCTGGTCTCATGTTTATACGTAGGTATTAATACGTAACATTTACAAAACGTACATTTTTGTACGTTTTTATTAATGCTAAAACGTACAATTTAGACGTATTTCAACGTTTAAAACGTACAAATCGCTATGTATTTTTTGCAAAAAAACGTACAAATATTTACGTATCTTTTATATCATTAAGATATTCGTATCAATGCATTTTTATCATTTTATCAATAAGCGATTTAGATTTT